GAGGGGGCACTAGTAAGATGAATGGGAATATGAATTGCGAGGGAGCCGATCATACAAAAATCTGCAGAGACTATTTTCTGCCAAAAAAGTGACAAATTTTGAGTAAGTCTCCTCTCTGCAAGCCTTTAAAACTAGGCATTATTCTGACAAATGCTTATATTTTCATTTTCTAATATTTTATATCTCCTATTTTAACAATTTTCCGGTTTTGTTTTTGTTTTTTGTTTTTTATTTGTTTTTGTTTTTCTTAAAGTGCAAGAGTCGATGCACTGTAGCGCCGTATAAATTATACACACTCATTGACCACTAACAATCAATGCATGCAAATAGCGCACACGTGCTTTGCGTCCACGTATTAAGTGAGTTTCCAATGTGACGTCACGAAAGAGGTACCGATTTCCTATCAATCAAACAGTTATTAATCAATCAATTAATCGATCAACCGACTTATATTATAATATCCCACTAATTTGTGGCATAATAATAATTTATTATTATGTATTAATATTGCTTATTACCCATTAATATCGTAGTATTTATCTCTTATAGACTGAACGTTTTAAAGTAGTTGGTGTAATATTTATAATATGCCTAATTATATAGCCTAACTAGTATCTATAGAGCCTTTTAATTTACGTCACTTCACGCCATGTACACAACATTCTTTGTAAAATCGTTGATCGCATTACTTTCAACAGTCTCACAGGTAATTATGGCAGTGTTTTGATTATACATCAGTAGTTTATGCTAAGTTTAGACTGTCGAAGGTGAAAACTTCGACATAGATACAAATTGGACAAGAGCCTATCGGTTATTCACAACAGCTACATGATGTGTGTGAATCGTTAGGGACTGGATCGCTCTTAGCAACGCGTACACCCTGCAGGGCAGACTACTGAAAGGGTAATAATAGGCCTAAAATTTAACAATAACAATAGTATAAGATTTACTAGCACGTAAATCAAATAAGTTTGAAAATAAAATATAAATTTTGAGGTGTTTTTTTTGGGGGGGGGGCAGTGACAGTGTACCTTTAATTAAGTACTGTATTTATGTTAAGATTTAGAAGATAACCTCGCATCCGACAGCTAATAGTCATAATAGACAATGATTGCTACAATACCGTATAGACTGACGCCCATCATACGCGTGCGTAATTCAGTATGCAAGACCCTATCATTACCTATTACTTTAAAATGACAGGCCTAATATGAATATGAAAGATTGGGTGAACTTTTGACTTAATGTGTATTACCTATGGTATGCACATTTTCTCGAAATTCTTGTGAAATTAAAAGATTTTAAATGGAAAGTGAAGATGCTTAGCACTGACTTTATTAAGAAGACACTTAAATAGTTTGTCATGACATGCATTTTATTGTCGATTCCTGTTCTACAAAGTAGTACTTATGACTTTTTATTAATTCGTTTTATTGGCATTCCGTTTCTTTATGACGACAAGGGAAATTTAATATACGTCAACCTCACCAGTGCAACATATGTTGAATTGCCGCTCTCTCTCCCCCACCCCCACCCCCTCTCTCTCTCTCTCTCATCTCAAACCCTCTGCGCGCGTATGTAAATTTATCTGCACGTGCATTTAAGCCAATCAAAAATGGTGGCATCAGGATGTACACATTTTCAACAGGTATAATAGGCTAAAGATGCTTGCTAACTCGAACAACATTATAACATCAGAAAGTCACTTTATTGTTCAAATTCATGTTGAGTGACTAACTGTAGGCCTGCATACGATAAAATTAAGCCAGTGCTTTGGAGCATTCACTCACTTGGGAAATTCGGTGCAAATCATTCAAAATTGCTGCATATGTCAATTTTAAGTCATTTTATGAAGAAGGAAACAATCCATTTAAAATATAGTTTACATGCATGCGAGATAAAAAAAAATATGATTGCTGTATTTAAGTAAATCTATCATTTCAGGAGCATTGTATTCCTTCCATTCAAATATACTTTTCTATCAAAGTATTAAACTGACGATTTTGTCAATTTACCCTACCCATCAAGTACCATTAATCATCTATGCAAATTCCTTTAACCATACTGCGACAGCACACATCTAGGCCTACAACTGTAATTTTTCCTTCAAATTCATTTATCACCTGTCTCAACTACAAACCTAATGCATCCACCAAGAACTGTCAATCACTTAAACAAAACCAGTATGCCATAAAACCATGATTCATTATCTGTCGACCCTTCCATCCACTTTCCCATTCAGACACAATTTCCCCCATCCACCCACCTCCACATCCACCTTCCAGTAAACAAGGATTAACAGTGAAAATAATCTAATCAATTATCTTCTACATCCAAGGCCTATTCAGATTATAATTAATTACTGTTCAAAAAATCATATTATTAATAACATGATAAAAGCAAAAAAAAAAAAAAAAAAAAAAAAAAAAAAAAAAAAAAAAAAAAAAAACAAACAAACAAACAAACAAACACATCTTCTTTATATAAACTTGAAAGAAAAAACTGTTTTTGAATCACCCAGCCATAGATATGCCTACAAAACCGTAATTTCCGTCACGATTAACATAATAAACTAGTATTTGATCGAAATAAAATGCATACAAACTGAAAAACAAAAGTGTTTAAAATGTGCACTTAACGATAAACTACTGTATTCTATTTACATTCGCTTTTATCTATTTTAAGTACTCAGCAAGTAGAGAAGTGGGGTCTTCGCCAAGGTTATTACTGTCACTTAATCTGACGTTACGCCTTAGCTTTATATAATTTAATTCTGTCTTACATAAAAATAATTCGATGTGGTTAGTAGATAGCTACTTTTTAAAAATAGTTTCTGATATTGTGGTACAAAATTTACCTCAAATCTTTTAGTAAAAGATTCCCATTATTCACCATGATGGTTAATTATGTTTCGTTTTATAAGCAAAATTAATTAGTCCAAAGTGCGTCTAATATAATAAAATTGGTGGCGTCCATATATAATATATATATATATATATATATATATATATATATATGTATATATATGTATATATATAC